GACAGTGGATAGGCTACAAACCCTTCATTAACCAGTTAAGCTAAGAAAGAGGAAAAAAAAAAAAAAAAAAAAAAGATAATTAACTTTAAGAATAAGATATTTCTTCAGTGAGCACTCTAACAACATAGTTTCCAGTTTTACTTTGAAAGAAAAAGGAATGGATTGGAAACTGACCCAAGTTTCACTGAGACTATTTTAGCTTTACCATTTGTGCATGTTACAGGACGTATAATAAATTAAAATTAACAGCTGTAAGATGACACACTCTTAAGACAAAAGTAATTAGGGAAGGAGCCAAGAAACCAGTTTAACCAGCTAGCTGGAGACGACTTCTGCATGGGATTTGCTGTACCATCACTCCAAGGAAACTCACAGCACAGAGGGACTATCAGGAGGAATGAGAAATATCTTAGTGTGTGATTGTCTAAAGATCACAGAAAGCTACTGTAGAGAAACTCAGAGAACAATCTAAAATACAGAAAGCTTAAAACTGGCTTAAATTTTACCTGTCAAACTATGCTACATGCATTTGTTCTATCACGTGTCACAAGTCTGTCACACACTCAGAAATGCAAGAACTGTTGGAGTACACTTTGACAGCTGTTAAGCTCCATTCAGAGTTGGTAGCACTGTTGAGAAAGATACTATTTCTATTTTCATCTCTATGAATAACTCCGTAAAGTTACATTTATTAAGTTTGACACCTGATGAGAATCCCATGGCTACCGCAAGTGGAAATGTCATGGGCTTTTTCAATGGTCATCTGTAGTCAGGACTAACACTTTCAGCCTTGTCTAGAATGATTCATACATCATTGCCTAGATTAACACAGTTTTCTCAGTTTTATTGAGTTGCAGTTGCAAAATAATGGATTCAAATCAATGAAGAAAATGGTTCCCTTCTTTGGTAATGACAGTAGGAGTTATTTTTGTTTTAGAAGAAAGTTTTGCAAGAGCTTTCTTATAGATAATTCATTTTACCATTCTATTGACACACTGAATGTGTCCCATTTGGAAGAAGTCACTGCCAGTCATAAGCTTCCCAGTGGAGTTACAGCAAGCTGTAGCCTTCTCCCGTAGGACCTCTGTGACTGTAGCAGTTCTGTGCCCACCACATACAGATAATTTTTAATGGAACTGAGTCATTAGAAAACTCTGTATTCCATTTCCTCTCAAATTATATCAACAGAAAAATCTCCACAAAATGAGGTTGCATGAATCATGACAGATAACTCTGTGGGAATGGGACGTGAGACCCACCTTCTTGTTCTCCTCTTACCTGAGGGGTCAGTTCCTCCTACCTGTATGGGTCAGATCTGACCCACACAAACCTCTACCATGCTAGGAAACTTCAAACAACTGAAAGTGCATGAGGTATGTTTAAGGTCTTTTCCTACTCACGTAAGTTAAGCAATCCTTCAAAACGCTGATTTCAGGGTGCACAATTTGCCCCAAAAAGCAAATAGTTAGTTAGTAAATGTAGTTAGTTTTCCATTTTCAACCTGAATTCAGAATTCTCAAAATGGAGAATGCTTACTGGGCCTAGATTTCAATTAAATTTATATTGCTGTCTTCAGTGAAGCCATCTGAGTGCAAACAAAATGAAAATTTACCACTCCCATTCCTGAAATTTAGCTCATGTGTGGTATTTCACACATTTAATGTGAGTGCCCCAAATGTCACTGTAGAGGTAAACATGCCAGTTTTTAAATATCAGGCACAGCAGGCAGTTGCAATCTGTGACAATAAAATCTGGCTTTGTAAAGGAAAAAAGGCATTCAAAGGTGAAACACAACTGTGATTTTTCACTTCAAACAGATGAAAACTAGAAATGTTCCTCCTTGAAACTGTGTTACATAATTTTAGAATAATACTCATATTAATACTGTAAATTATTTGTAAAGATAGGAGATTATTTTAAAGGTTTCTGTATGCTGTTTCAAACAGATTAAATCCTATAATTTAACAGAACAGTTTTCCAGCCTGTGGATTCTAGGCTGCTATTTTAGTAATTTCCATTTGTTTTTTATATTCCTTCACTTCTTTACTTAAAGATTGCACTAAGGGCACTGCTAACGAGTGTACTAAGTCACACCAACTTATTGAAGCTTCTTTCATACCAAGGAAGTACAAAGTAACTGACATGAAGAAGAAAATGCTTTTAGTGATGAAGTAATTTTACATCAGGAAGATGAAAACAAGGATTATAGATTTGAATGAATGGTCTTTTGTTTATACGAGGAAAAAAAAAAGTAAGTTTACAACACACTGTACCTGAGATGGGAAGAGACTGACTGTGCTTTAAGACAATAAAGATTAATCTTTTATATACTGTATGCAAAACACAAAGAAAAATGTTCAAACAAATACAGAGCAGGCAAGAAAAGATGTCAGCTCATACACATGTATGCTATGAAGTGCTACTACAGTAAGATATGGAAAACGTTTTAACACCTTACTCATATTGAATAATCTTTCTACAAATGATAATTATAAAATTGGTCTTATATTCAATGGGCTATTTGTGAAGGCAATTACAAATTAACTGCAATAAAGACAACAGAATCTATATTTACCTATCATTTAATATATAAAACCAGCCTACTATACAATCTAAGAAGGTAATACTATGCTTGTAACTGCAACTTGACAAAATTAAAAGTATGCGTATTTTTTTTTTTTCATGTTAGAATGTGTCTGTCAATTATGTTATTATGCTTTACTGGATTAAGACTAACATAAAATTACACAGAGAGGGAACAACAAGAATGTTCATGTGTCATCATTGTGGAATCAAGTGTAATTTTACTAAGGAGAGCATGACCACAGGATTTTTTTGTATTTAGTCTTATTTTTAAAAAATATTAAAATGTAATGATTGTAGGGGAGGTTCATTATGATTCCTAAAATTAATTTACTGGTTCAATCTCATTAGAAGTTTTTTAACCATAAATTATGCTTCAACAACACAAGGATTGTTAATTATTGAAAACTATAAGGAGAACGCATATGGTTCTTCAAATTATAGCTGCAAAACTTTCTTAGAATTTCTTGTACTTCCAGTGTCACCTTGGAGAAAACCAGTAAGGGATGGCATCCAGCAACCCAATACTTTACTAGACAAGTAACAAAATGTAAGTGCGTACGAAGATTTGAACTTGTAGATACATAGAACTCAATCAAGTGTAGGAAACTTGCCTTGCATTGCATCTGCACTGTATAATTATATAAGAAAATATACTTAAATAGTCAGAAATCCACACAGTGACCATAAGCACTATTATACATTTGTTGTATACAGTAAAACCCCTAAAATCTCATTCACTAGAGGGAACAAGACAGTGAGAATGTATTATATATAACAATATATATAAAACCAACCCAACCCTTGGCAGTGCAAAATTACATTATCAAAGGATGCAGTAAAATAATAATTTCAAATTAATAAAATCTACATTTTGTTCATTATACACAGAATCAGTGACTTTCACATATTATGTAAGACCACAGATCTCTGCACTACAAATCCACTTCGTTCTCTGAGCTGAATATTTTACTATACTTTCCCTCTTACATGGTAAATTAAATGGAAAATAGTAAGAAACTAATCATATATCTTCCCCCTTAATAATGTATTTCCTTTAGCTGATGGCTTTTGTTGTAACACAATAAAAGCTACCAAGTCCAAATTTGAAGAGGAAGCTCTGCATGTATTTTCAGAATACAGTCGTGTCACATGATGAGTTGCTATGATTTCAGCTCTTCCTTCTAATTGTCAGCTTAAAAAGTACTTTCAGTTCAAACACAAACATTAACTAAACCCCACCAAAACATTCTATGTGAAACACTATTATAAAGCAGACAAAAAATGATTATTCAAGGTCACTGAGTGAATCAGTGGTTGAGATGGAAATTGTGTCTTGCATTTCTAGGCCTTCTTTTGAAGGGATTAATTCAAATATATGAGGATTTACAACAAAATACTTCCACAGCTTTATATATAAGCATCCGTGGCAGCTCTTAAAATGTCTTGGTGAATTGTGACCTAATTTTTAGCTGCTTTCTTTGAAAAAACAAACAAACAAACAAAATAAACACCCACAAAATACAGATTTAGGCACATCCCCAAACACTAGAAAAAGTAAGTTATTAGTTGTATTGTGAACCCAGCTCATATTTAACTCTTATTTAGAAAGTGATTAATCTTCTAAAGATAATGATTTGTGCTGAAATGTAGGCAGAAGACAATTTTCAAATCTGGTTTATTTCACACACACACGCGCGCACACACATTCATGCATTTGTACATCTATAAGTATGCAAAAGCCAGACAAGAAGTTTGAATAGGTTAAAAAAATAAATAAAAACTAGCACTACTAATAATCCAAATTATCTGAACAATACAACTCCTCCAGTGATTCTTATGTCAAGCCCATAATTCTGGTTGAACCATAGATTAAATTTCATCAATAGAAAACCATCCCACTCTTAGCTAAGACATTCAAAGGTATAATTAGCCTCACTGGGAAAAAAAACATGTGGGTTTGTTCCAGCCCAAAGTTATTTAGATTCAAATTCTAACCTTGAGATCTGGTTTTTCTTTTGCTTGATGGACAATAGAAACAGATAGAAAATATTCACAGCAAGGAAGTATACATGTATCTCATTTAGTTTAGCTACCGGTGTTTCTGCTTCATAATGAAAGGATTACACTAATGCAAGAGAAATGTCAATGAAAAGTTTAATTCTTTATGGCCCATGATATACTCCTGTATCACTTGACACCAATGAGTCACAAGGTATAAAATATTAAATATATTTTATGTTATTTTCAAAGAAATGTTATAGATTGAGAAAGCTTTAAGTACCCTAAGGTTCAATACTAATCCATTTTTTAACAGTACTTTATACACATACCAAAAAGGCTTTAACTTCCATATTTAAATGTCCTTCTTTGTGTTGTTGTATTTTATGTAGTAAAATATTTCATACACCACTTACTTTTTTGTCTTCATTATATTTATGGAAAATTTCCTGTGCTCTTTCTTCACCACCATCCGTAAATAACATAATAATCTTGTTGCAGTTAGCTCTAGAGACACTGTGCTGTAGGAGATACAAACAGAAGCTTTTTTTTTAATTTCAGTCTATAAGGAATCAAAACTGTTATATTTGATGCTTTTCATATCAACATGCTTACTACTTTAACATGGCAATGGCAAAACTTCCAAAATCTTTTAGGATTTCATTCAATACTTCTTTCTGAATTAAAAATAAAATAAAATAATAAAATTAATAT